CTGACTCTCCCCACAGGGGTTCCATTGATCTGTATTGGGGTGTGAGTTAGCGCCTCTCTTTGTCTCCTGAAGTCAATCACCATCTCTTCTGTTTTCTTGATGTTCATGGAGAGGTGATTTGCCTCACACCACTTTGCTAGACCGTCCACCTCACACCGGTAGGCCCTCTCGTCATTCCTGGAGATGAGTCCTACCACAACTGTGTCGTCAGCAAACTTCACAATGGAGTTAGTGGGGTGCCTGGCCTTGCAGTCTGCAGTGTAGAGGGAGTAGAGAAGGGGGCTCAGCACACATCCCTGGGGGGCCCCTATGTTCAGTGTGAGTGTACGAGAGTACACATCCCCTACTCTCACTGTCTGTGGTCTTGCGGTCAGGAAGTTGTACACCCATTTGCACAAAGATGTACTGAAACCTAAGGTCCTGGAGCTTATCCGCGAGGGTTTGGGGGATTATGGTGTTAAAAGCTGAGCTGTAGTCTATGAACAGCATTCTCACATAATTACCACATCCCTCCTCAAGATGGCTCAGTGTGGAGTGCAGGACCTGTGCGACGGCATCTCCAGAGAATCTGTTTGTCCGGTATGCAGATTGTAGCGGGTCAAAGTTGGAGGGAAGGAAGGAGCTGATGAAGGGTTCCATGAGTCTCTCGAAGCACTTCATCACCACAGACGTCAGGGCTACCGGGCGATAGTCATTGAGGCTGGCTGGGCGGGTGTTCTTTGGTATCGGACAATCACTGATGTTTTAAAGCAAGAAGGGACCACCTGCTGGGCCAGAGAGGCATTGAAGATGTTGGTGAAAACCATGACCAGCTGATCTGCACATACCTTCTGTAGTGGTGGCTTGATGGTTAGGGAAGCGCACTTGTAATTGAAAGATTACAGGTTCAAATCCCTTACCAGCAAGGCACCACTGAGGTACCCTGAGCAAGATACTGCTCCACTGGTGCTGAATTAGCTGTCCCCTGCTATGTCACAAAAGTCACATATGGGTTAAATACAGAGGACACATTTTGTTGTTGCGCACTGTGTGCTGTGGTGTGTTGACAATGACCACTGATCTCTAAAGTCTTCAGTACACGTCCCGGGATGCCATCTGGTCCCGCTGCCTTCCTGCAGTTAGTGGCCCTCAGAGCTCTCCTCACGTCATGCTCAGAGAGTGTCAGTGGTGCCGGTTCAGCAGCGGGGGCGGATGCAGCTCTCTGATTAGCCGCCATAGCAGGCGCCTCGAAACGCGCGAAGAAAGCATTGAGGTCGTCAGCTAGTTCCGGTTTTGTGCATCTCACAGTGCTGGGTTTATAGTCCGTAATTGACCTTAGCCCGTCTCATATACGTCGGGGCTCGCTGTGTTGGAAATGGAAATCTCCTGCTTGTGAAGGTTCTTGCTCTTCGGCTGCAGGCGGTGATTTGTAAATTTATTCACCCAGACCAAACTGGCTTTATTAAATCCCACCATGTTACTGACAACATACACTGCCTGCTGCATGTACATCATGCTGCTCCTTCCTTTCCTTTCCCAGCTGCCCTTCTCTGCTTAAATCTGAAGGCTTTTAATGAATTGGTCATTTTTGTGGAGGGTCCAGGACAGAATGGGCTTTGGCTCTTATTTTACCAACATGGTTCAGACCCTTTACTCCTCCCCCTCCTCACTCCTCCTGACTGATACCAACACTTCTCCTCCTTCTCTGCCCCTTCGAGGTGCCAGGCAGGGCTGTCCACTATCCCCTTTACTCTTTAATCTCTCATTAGAGCCCCTAACCACAGCTCTCCATCAATCAGATCTTATGTCTCCTTATATGTTGATGATCTGCTCCTTTATCTTGGCAAAGCCCCTGCTGATCTTCCTCATCTCCTTAATCTCTCTCAAACATATGAATCCCTGTCGGGCTATAAGATTAACTGGGCAAAGTCTTCTCTTCTTCCACTGCATCCTGCATGTCACTTTTCATTTCCTTCTTCTATTCCTCAGACGAGGTCTTTCAGATACCTGAAGTTGGACATCTACCCCTCAGTCCTGGAGCTTGCAGCTGCCGTCTTTCGCCGTGTTCTGGAGGGTATTAAGGTCTCCATCTCCTCACGGTCTTCTCTCTCCCTCTCATTCCACACAAGGGTGGCCATTATTAAAATGAATGAGCTGCCAAGCATTAATTTTATTAGCTCTATGCTTCCTCTTCCTCCTCCCCCTAGATACTGGGCCTCTGTTAAATCTACCATTTCTATGTTTCTTTGGATTGTAAGAGACCTTCTGTGCGACATTTCACTATAATTGAAGTGTACCACCATGCTTTCACCCTAAGGCCAATTATGGAGCTGGATCACTCTTCCCTGACACCCCCCTGCCTGGCTTCTTCCATCCATCACCATAACCTCTTAATCCCAACTGGGGTCGCCAGATCCTATCCCAGGAACAAGAGGCGCAGGCGGGAACTAACTCTGGGCAGGTGCCAACACACACAGCCACACGCACACAATACCAGGGCTAATTCAGACTCGCCAATCAACCTGCCCTGCACGCTTTTGGACCGTGGGAGGAAACCGTGGGAGGAGCCCTGGTGGAAACCCACACGGACATGGGGAGAGAGTGCAAACTCCACACAGAAAGGACCTGGGAACGAACCCAGGACCTTCTCGCTGTGAGGCCAACCTCTGT